ATTCCCGGGACGGAAAAGAGGCTTTTCCTCTCACCCTGCCACTTCTCAGGTGCTCACCTCGGGGGGCAGATACGGGGGGTTGTTGGCTTTGCTCCCTCTGTTCCGTCCGTTCTTCTTCTTCCCCTTCGGGCCCCCGCAGCCGCTGCTGCCGCCGGCCCCCCTAGCCTTGAGGGTTCCGCCCATAGCTGGGCCACCTCCGGGCCGGCAGCAGCCGCCGAACAGCTCCGATACCCGCGAGTCCATCCGCCGCTGCCGCCAGCCCCTCGTCCGGCCCCTCCCCCCCGCCACCGCCACCACTACCGCCGCCGCCGCCGCCGCCCCTACTGCCACCGCCGCGTCCGGCCAGCCAGAGGAGAGCGGGGTGGGGCCCCGCGCAGGCCACGCCCCCACCCTACTCTGGCTCCAGGCGCGTCAGAAACAGCCGCGTTGCACCACGGGATGTAGAGTCCTCAAGTCTGGGATCCCCCTCAAAAGGGCTTGCCGCCGCTCTACAACTCCCAGGAGGTATCGCGGCGCACCGGACCGCAGGTGGCTTCGGGGTGTAGACAAAGAGCGCGTCTTTGCGCGCAAAGACTTAAGGGAGCTGTAGTCTTGTTCCCAATCTGCGCGCTCTAAGCGGGTCTTTTCCTAGGGCTTTGGGAAGACAGGGCTGGTTAGAGCCCCACGGCCTGGGGGGTGGGGCAGTCACCGTAGTGCTTACTACAGAATCCAGCTTTGTGGGCGCTTCTGGGTTTGGTCCCTTAGCGCGATCCCAGATAACAAGTTTTGGACCTGGTGCGTTGCAGAATTAAAGGCGACTAGTTCCTCCAGCCTGCTGGCTCCGCCTCTGCCTCAGTTTCTTCTCCGACCGGGTCGACGTGCCGTAGGGGTGAGTCAGGGCAAATGCCAGGGCGGAGGCGGATGGCGGTTAGCCTAATTATGGCTGTTATTGTTACGACGATCATGCCACATTTACACAGTAGTCACTGCTTATTACCAGGCTGGCACCCTCCAGGGGCCGGTTTTAGCAGCCCGAGACACCGCGGTGGCTCCGACACGAGGCCCGAACCCATAAACCAGCCTTGCTGCCTGAGGGCTACAAGGATGCCCGCCACGAGTATTAACCCCTCCTTTTTGTTTTGAAGCAGAACCAATCGAGGATAACCGGGTTTGGTTTTAAAACAGCCAAGGCTGTAGGAGGGGCATGGCCCCTACTTGGGCGGGGCTGAGGCTCGGGTTACATCAGCCCCGCCAGGGCGGCAAGTGACCAAGAATAGAAGAAACTTGGCCAAGGGCCCCAGAGGATCGCTGACTTTTGACTTTCTTGCCAAGCCATCTCTCTTGCTCTCTAGGGAGCGGTCAACAAAGAGTAAACACATTTAGCGACATAAGACAGAGTGCAGTCAACGAAGAGTAAACACATTTACTCTTTGCAGTCAACAAAGAGTAAACACATTTAGCGACATAAGACAGAGTACAAGACACTGGAAAGGCAGAGTGTTGCTGGGCTGGGAGTCAGGACGCCAGGGTTCAATTTCCAGCCCATGGCTATCTCATGACTCACTGTTCATTGTATGTCCACTTCCCCTCTCTTCACAAATAATGAGATGCCCATACAGCATCTCAAGAAATAAAATAGCCCTTTCATCCAGACCTCAGTTTTCCTTGGAAAACTAGAAGCAGCAACAGTTGGCTTACCTCTGGTGATCTTTTCAGGAGTTCAGACTTGGCAGATTCCATGGTTTCCCCCCAAGACCACAGGAAGGTGGCAGGTTACTGATCATAGATTGCTGTCCACATGGCATAACTCCCCAAAGCAGTGAGAACAGAAGGATTGAAATCTGTAAAAGGGCCTAGCAGACCCAGCCAATTATGTGGTCTTCAGTGGTTGAAACAACATGTGACTTCTCTCTTCTCAACCGTTTAGCTAAAAGGTTAGCTGCAGAGGCCAACCTTAGCCAGGGGGACAAACCTGCCAGGAAAACTGCTACTTAGAGACTGAGATCAAAGAACTCAGTGAGAGATCTTAAGAAGGATGGGTATTGGAAAAGAGAGCTAAGGCCGTTCCCCTCAACATTCTCACCACCACTAGCTCTGGGCTCTCTTGATAACCAGAGCCTGCTGCACTCGCTTGATAACACTCGTCCTCTCATCTTCGTGGATCCTTCAACCACCCCAACACATAGTTTCACTTCATCTGAATCCCTTTGTCTCTTAAGTGGAGAACTTTTGAGAGATGGGAGGGGATAATTCATTTCGATACCGCATTCTTGAACAACCTGGCTTACCACACATAGGAATGAAGGCTGGCAGAACAATAGGCTGAACAAGGATGTCTGTCCAGGAGGAGATCAGGGTCCTGGGAGATGGCACATGGTTTACGTGTTTAGTTTCCTGGAGAGGTTGCTTATAAAGTAGATGGCTGTGGACATATGTCATGGATGGATATATATACACATATATATACACACATATATATGTATGTGTCTGTTTACACACACACACACACACAAACATTTTTCCTGGTATGTAATTAGTCATTTATTCTTTGTGTATAGTACCTTTACAGAAGATCTTTAATTTATTTAGAATTTTCATAGGATGTGTAGTAGGAATTAATTTGATTTTCTTTTCTTCTAAATGGGTAGGGAGTTATCTCAAGTTATTTGCTTTGAAAGGTCACCTTCCTCATATACTAAAATTTACATATATGTATATCTGTTTCTGGACTCTTTTATGTTTTATTATTTGTTTATTCCTAAGTCAATACCACAGTATTTTAATCATTATACTTTTATAGTATGTTTTGATCTCTGGTCTCTACTTCCTGAAACACACCCTTTTCTTGGCCTCTGTGATCTGATACTTGTCTATTTTTCTTGATACTTCTCTGGCTACTCCCCAGTTTCCTCTATAGGTTCTTTTCTCTCTGCTCATCTAAACATTAGCGTCTTTGGGATCTTAGCTCATCCTTATTCTACACACTCTGCCGGGGTGATCTTATCCACTCCCATACTGATGACTCTCAGATACACATCTCTGTTCCTAATGGTGTTCCTAAATATCTCTTCACTGTCCAGTGGAGTGGCAAACTCAATCTATCAAAAACTGAACTCATATTTTCTCCTTACCCACACCCAATAAACCTGGCCCTCCTCTAGTGTTCATTCATTGAATGGCATAACTGGTCATAGAGGTGCTGAAGTGAAAAACCTGCTTGTCTTCTTACCATCTTCTCTCTATCCCTCCTCTTCTTTCTGGGATCAACGACCAAGTAATGCTTATTGGACTTCCTAAATATCTCTGGGATTCACCCAGTTCTGTCTACCCGCTGTGACTACTCTAGTTCAGACCTCTTTCACCATGCACTTGGGTAATTACAGTTGCTAGTTCAAACTGGTGTCTATACCTTCTCTCTTATCATCCCTGTAATCTAATTTCTCCACTGCAGTCAGTGTAGAGATTAAATTTCTAAAATGTAAATTTAATCATGCTACTCCTCTACTTAAACCTTTTAATATTTCGCCAACCCCTACAGGATCAAGTCTAAAGTCTTTAACATGGCTTATAAAGCCTTGCCAAGATCTAGATCCTGTTTGTCCACCCCAGTCATAACTCTTTATAACCTGAATTCGTTTCATTCCTCGAATAGAGAATGCGCATGTCTTTCAGGGTCTCCAGGACCACTAAGCCCTCTTCTTTACGTTTACTCATCCTACAGGACAGTTTCTTGGGCACATTTCCTCTGGACCACCCCTCGCTCCCACCCCGTCTAGGTTAGGCGCCCCTGTAGTTCACGTCCACAGCCCGCGTACATCCCACGGTATAATTCATCACATTGTATCTATAGGCAGAGAACCCCTTGAGGACAGCGCCCGTTTCTGGCTTGTTTGCCTCAGTCTCCAGCACCTAGGACAGAGCCTGGCTCGAAGTAGATGCACAATGAATAGTGAACGCCGAAGAGAATAGATGCCTGAGGGATAGTGTCCTTTGGAAGGCATCGCTCAGTGGCTGCGAGCACGTGGGTTCCCTGTGGGTTCCGCGTACCTAGGCGAGGGTGTTAAAAAGGGAGCGCAAGTTTCAAAACCCACCTCAGCCCAGCCTGCAGCACAGAGCCGCGACGCCGCGCCCTATTCCGGCCTTGCTGAGCCGGAAGTGGCAACTCGATCTTCCCATGATACATCGCGGGGCGCCTATTCAAACCGCACAGAGAAGAGGAAGGAGATCGTGATGGCGGCTCCGAAGCTGGAAGTGCTGTCTCCTTCCGCAGTTCCTGGTGAGGCGTGGGGTCCCGAGCTCGGGGAGCTTTGGGGGACCTGTTTCTTTGCCGCCGCTCCTTCCCGTCATTTAACCCCTGGCCCTTTCTCTGGCCCGTCTTCCTTGTCCGCATTTCCTGGCGTCTCTCCTGGTTCTGGCTCGGCCACAGTGACTCCATCGCTCCCACGGCCCTGGATCTCATTGGTTAACCCCGACTCTGGCCTCATCAAGACAGTATTCTTGACCTCGCTTGAATACACTTTCTTTCAACTTAGATCAGGGCATCCACTTTCTGAGTGGAGCCCAAAACCCTGCCTCCAACTTCCCCCCTCCCCCTCTCCGCCTGCCTTCTCATCATCCTGCCGATACTTAAATCACTTGGGAGACTGGGATCAGAAATCTCTCCGCCTCCGCCCGCAGGGGAGTTTGCGGAGGGAATGTGTATGTGCCGGATTGTCCCCTCCGCAGTGATGGTAGATGTGGCCATAAGGGAATGGGAAGACTGGCTTTGGTCTTTGAGTTTTTTTCATTTTTCTTTCTTGTCCCTCTGTGCGCCTACCAGATTTGGAGTGGTATGAAGAGTCGGAGGAAACTCACGCCCCCCAGATAGAACTGCTTGAGACTACCTCTGCCCAAGAACCTCCCAACTCTTCGGAGCCTTTTTGCCCCCGAGACTGCTTGGTGCCAGTAGTGTTTCCGGGCCCTGTGAGCCAGGAAGACTGTTGTCGGTTTACTTGTGAACTTCTAAAGCATATTATGTACCAACGCCAGCAACTCCCTCTGCCCTATGAACATCTTAAGCACTTCTTCAGAAAACCTTCCCAGGTAGGCACCGGCTTTGGGAGAAAATTGGTGGGAAGGCTTTGTGGCTGTTAGATAGTAGGCAGGTAAAGAGGGGGTCTAAGGAATCTTCAGGGCCTGTCAACTTAAGTAACTGTAAGGGATGTTTCATCTCATGGCTTCATTCTTTCTCCACAGTCTAATCTTTGATAGTCTAACCTTCTCTGCTTTTTCTCTTGGTTTTCTTGTTCTGAAACTCCTATTTTGTGTTGCATTTTGTCTTCATGAATTGACCCTTTTAGTGTCTTCTCTCTCCAGATTTTTCTCTCTCTTTACGTTCTACTTTCTGGGAGACTTCCTTGGCTTTATGTTCCAACACTTCTATTACTTTTTTTGCAGTTATAGTCTTAAGGACTCTTTCTTAATTTTTGCATGTCCCTTTTATAATAGCATCATGTTTCATGTCTGTATGAAATTCCCTGAGGACATCAATTATTGTATTTTTGAAATTTTCTTCTGTTCCTTGCATTGGCTTAGTTTCTTCCAGATTCCTTTTCTTATTTGTTTCAGTCTCTGACATTAGTGTTAGAAGCTTTTATTCTGTATCTGGTGAATATTTAAGAATAAATCTTTGAAAGCTCTGTATGCATGGCTGGGCCTTGTGAGCAGATAGACTTTAAGAATATTGGCTGAGAACCTTAGTGGTCTCTGGAGGACTCTTAAAACATCAATATTGGAAAATCTTCTCTCTGGGTGGAGGAAATTGGCAGGTGATCTAAGGGTCTTCACGTTTTCACTTAGTCCTCGTGTTCACTCTTGCTTTTTGCAGCGCCTAAATTGGCAGTTTCTGAGCCTTTCTGGGGTTCTGCTGTGTGAATCAGTTTGCTTCTTCTCATGGGTGTCCTCTCTGTCAGCACTTGGTTTTTGGCTCTTTTCAACTATTCCATCTGCTTTCTGTCCTCCAAGAATTTGTTGTTGCCTTTGGCCATTGTTGTCTACTCTCCAGTTCTCTTTGCCCTTGGGCATCCTCCTTCTCTTTCTCTCTCCCTCCCTCCTTTCCTTTTTCTCTCATTTAGTAGTATTTCACATGGAAGCACAAAAAAGCATGTGTTCAGTTTGTCATGTTTAATTAGATGACCAACTCCAGAATCACCTTTATTAATCCAAATAATTCTTGTTCCTGTTATCACTTGTAGTACAGCAAAATTTGCCATCCACCATTGCCACCAAATCTCCTTAAGTATTTCAGTTGCTTATTTCTGGATGCCTTCCTATCTTAGAACACTGTCTTTGCTGTCCTAAGCATGGGAGAATTATGATTTTGCACAAAGAATATTTTCCTTTTTGATATATTGCCCTATGATAAAACCCAATGTCTTGGCTGTGGCAGTTCATTGAACTGGAAATCCAGTCCCATAAGTCTCCTATATCCCAACAGGGTTCTTCAAAGGTCATTAGCTATTTCCTACCTTGCCTTCTCTCTCACCATTCTTTATCCTCATAGGCAGAGGATGTGGTGAAGAGGAAACCTCGGGCCACCGCTGAGGCAAGCAGCAGGACATGCCGACAAACCCTGGCAGAACTGGAGAGCGTCCTCAGCCACCTAGAGGGTCTCTTTGCCAGGACACTAGTACCACGAGTGCTGATCCTCCTTGGAGGCAGTGTTCTAAGTCCCAAGGAGTTCTATGAGCTCGATTTGTCCCGCTTGGCCCCCAACAGCATGGACCAGAGCCTGAGCACAGCAGCTTGTTTGCGCCGTCTCTTCCGAGCCATTTTTGTGGCTGATGCCTTCAGTGAGCTGCAGGCTCCTCCGCTTATGGGCATTATTGTCATGGCACAGGGGCACCGCGACTGTGGAGAAGATTGGTTTCGTCCCAAGCTAAACTACAGAGTTCCCAAAAGAGGCCACAAATTGACTGTGACCCTGTCCTGTGGCAGGCCCTCCATCCCAGTCACAGCCTGGGAGGATTACATTTGGTTCCAGGCACCAGTGACATTGAAAGGCTTTCACGAGTGAAGGGGGATGCTTCTTAATTGTGAACACAATGGCTAAATTATCTTTCCTTCTGTTGCAACAAGTTACCCATCTCTTGCTTGGAGGTAGAGTTTCTTCCTGGTGAGAGAAAGGTTCTGTCCTCTGGCTGCCTACTTCTCCTTCTCAGACTTCCTGGTGGGCTGATGGTATGGCTGGGACTGTAAAAATTATTGTTGAACAACATCTCTTTGAATCAAAGGTTGGTTTTCCCAGAGGGTGCTGGGTCGGGCTTCTATGTTTACAATTGGAAAGCAAATGTGGGCCCCAAAACGCTGTTATGTAAGTGGCCTTTTTCTGGGGCCCTTCAGAATTTTTACCAGGGACATAATGTGGGTGTGTAACTCATAAACTTAAATATAAAATGAATAAATTCATATTAAATTTTCTGAAACTCTTGGTTTAAAGAGACTTTCCAAGTTTGAGGCTAGAGTATTTTGTTTTTCTTCTTGGTTTTATGCTTCAGGGCTTCCACGATTGTTTGTTTGTTTGTTTTACTAATGGTTCTTTCTCTTCATCAGCCCCAGACCAGTCTGGGAAGTTAAGTGACTTGGCCAAAGTTCTATAATGGTTTGATATCAAAGTTGAGACTAGAGTCCTCATCAGCTAACTCCTAGCCCAACGTTCGTTCCTTGCCACATACTAGTTTTGTGACCCTTAATGTATGCATGCCCAAAGTAGAGGTCACACAGGGGAAAGGGGGTTTTGCAAAGAGGGACTGGGCTGAGAAAAGAGAACGGAGAATCTTTGCAAAGCCTTACTGAACTGTAGGCTGAGGCCTCAGGACTTCCCTGTGGGATCATTTCCCTGAGTCTAAACGTCCCATCTGGAATTCTGCCCAGCCTGTCTCCACTGCAGTTGTCCGGTGGCTGCTGGCAGTTACTGTGGGACAATATAAATATATAGTATTTTTTATATTTAAGAGGAAAGTTTTATGTTTTGTCAAGTAAACATAAAAAATAGTTTATATTTTATGCTACTTTTTAAACCTTGCAAAGTTTTTATCATTGTCCCCATTGTATAGATGAGACTTGGGGAGATTGAATAACTTGCCTAAGTGTTGAAACCCGAATTCAAACCCAGTCCACCTGGCACCAGAGGCTGAGTGCTTTACACCATCCTGTGCATCCTGTGTGGTTTTACTGTGAAATAATTAAACAGAATTTGCCCTGCTAAAGGTGGTATTATTGGAAAGCTGTAGGACCCACCTCTCTGGCTTCACGTAGTTTCCTGACATGGGACCTCACATTTATAGGTGCTAAATAAATATGGAATCAGTGAAAACAAAAGGTTTGGGTTCTTTTCTGTGCCCTGACCACTTGAAACATATTCCACCAGCTAGAATTTCGGCTGTTTTTCTGCCTGACGACATTACCCTCCAGAAGAGCAACAGAGCCATAGCTTCCACTTGGGAAGGGACAGGCTGAATGAGGGGTCTGACTAAAGGGAGGGAGAGTTTGGACCAAGGGAGTAAAAATTGTTTTGAGATGGAAGACACATTAAGCCAATTGAGCTCCCACAAATACTAATTTTAAAAGTCTTCATAAACTATGCCTAGACAATCAAAACAAAGTAATTACCTGCGTAATTTAGACACATTGGGGCCCACGTCATTATGATTTCATAAGTCTTAGCCAAAGGAATCCAGAAATTAAAA